CTGTTATAAATTCTGATAAACGAAAATATGCTGCATCGAATGAAACTATTTTCAACGAATCCAAATCGAATTTCGATGAAATTTTACATCAGAAGTAGTTTTATAGGTCTCTCTGAAAGTACTTGAAACGTTCTATAATGTCAGAGTAGCTTTGGAAAAAACTGTGATAGTTGTAATTTAGCATACTTAGCTCTATTGACCTATAAAGACACCGACTAGAATAGTGATAAAAAAATATCTTTCTATACCTGAGGGGAAACTCAGGTGTAAAAAAATTTCAGCTGTGACAAATTACGAATGAAAACTTTTGAAAAATAGTCCCCGTTCAATGCTAATACTCAGACTAATAATATTAGGTCAGCTATTTTGGTACATCAAGTCCATAATTTGACACACTTCATTTCATTGTCTTATTTAGGGGTGGTACTTTATCTTTATTTTACTTTGAAAAAGTAAAGTAAAGTAAAGTATTTAACTTTACTTTATTGAGTAAAGTAAAGTAAAGTTATTTTACTTTACCGGGTAAAGTAAAGTGAAGTTACTTTACTTTACCCGGTAAAGTAAAGTGATCCAACTTTACTTTACTTAGTAAAATAAAATTAGAAAGCAATATTTTTCATCGACAAATTAAAAATATCGAACTTTTCAACTTTACTTTTTCACGTGAAGTACAAAAATACTTTACTTTACCCGGTAAAGTAAAGTTGAGTAGCTGTACTTTACTCGGTAAAGTAAAGATAAAGTGCCACTCCTAGTCTTATTAGAATATGCCATAATTATTGCCATATAGATCGATTACAATATAAAAATAAATATTTCCATCTGTCAAAATTTTAAAACACTCATATTTAAAGAATGATGCATAAAATCACATAGTACTCATTTCTGTAAGTTTTTCTTTCATAAGAATTCATTCTTATTATTATATGAATCTTGTTTAGTAAATTCATGTTAAATAAAACAGCTAGAATAATTTTTTCATGACCTACTAGTTTAATATATACGTTTTCAATGAAAAATAGCTTAGATATCTGTGATGATTATTTTGTTCTTTTTTGATAGTAAAATATTTTTTCTACATTAGTTAGTAATGATTAGAAAAATGTATCTAGGCTGGCTGAGTGGCATCGCCATCTGACTCTTGAGTCAGATTCTAGAGTTTCGATACTCTGCCTGAGCACTATTCTGTGTCATCGATGATCAAAGCCAATGATCTTCGCGCCACAATACTAATTGATTACTTCATGCAAACTGTTTATTGATCGACTCGACTCTTTCTCGAACTTGATTTACTCTAATTACTTGTAAAAAAAAAACGCGAAAGCGATTGGAAACCGGGACTTAAGGTCTAGTTTCTGTACTCATACAAATTGAATAAAAATAAAGCATTAATTAAAAAAAAAAAAAAAAAAAAATTAGAAAAATGTCAGACAAAAAGATATTATTCCGTCGGTACAATCTATATAGCACATATTCATTAATCATCTAATAAAAAATTCGTCAGCTTACAAATTTATCTTTTTTCTTTATTTCTTTGTCATTACTAATCAAACTAGAAAATAATATATTTTTTGCTCATTTCTCATGTGACTAGAGGTATTTGTCAACATAGCATGACATGGGAATCTGAAATACCGAGTAGAAAAGAAAAAAATCAATATAATAAAGAAAAATTTCTTTGAAACTATATTCATCATTATTTTTTTCTAAACACATTGACGTGTACAAAACCACTCGAATGAAATAAATTTTTACATGATACTAATTCTGTCAAAAAAAAACAGTCAATTATATAATTGTATCCGAGGAAAAATGTGTTTTAATCACCAAAATTGTCTAATTACAAAATAATTATCAAGGGTGAGGATGAAGAGAAGACTTCATCAGTACTCACATCCGCACTTCTTCTCATTCATAATACATTTGGTGATAAAAAAAACTGCTCATTTCTTGTATATATACATCCGTGGCTTTTATGTTACTGATCAATCGACAAATAATCCACTAGAGAATAGTAAAAATATGACTTTTATCATATTAGATCCATATTTTCAGTGAATACCTTGACAAAAATAAAACTAATCATATCTCAATTCATATATAACGTTCGTTTACCTCGATTGCTTTTTTTTTTTATTTTTTATTTTTTACACGGCAAAACAAAAAAAGGAAATTATTAATTGATTTAGAATTTTAGAAAGTAGTATAATTTAAATATTTGCTGATCTTTTATTTATTACTTCAATCGACATTTGTTGACCGAGCAGGCGAAAAAAATAGTAGGAATTTAAAATGGAAGAGATAGAGAAAAAAACATGCCAGTGAATAAGTGTGATAAAGAATACACACCGAAATTCAGAAGTTATTTGTAGAAATCTGATGTTGGGAAAAAGAAAAAAAAAGAAATATTTAGTATTTTTTTTTTATTGAATCTTCTTAACTTGTTTGTCTACGTTTTCGTCTACCCATAAGTAACATACGATTGCGTACACAATCAGCATATTCCTGACCACGGCCAGTAGCTGGCATTCGATTACATGGTTTTAAAATTTCTTGAAAATCAGCCGTTTTCTTGAAAATAAAATGATCAGGATCATAGGGTTCATTTTTATAAATCGGAGAACGAAATAATTGTCGACTTGGACGATTTGATTCGTCAAATCGATCATATTCATTGTTAACATTATTCATCATTTCTTGCATTTCTTGGTTCGATGTAGATAAGGCCAATAATGGAATGACCAAAGTCATGCATATACATATGAAAATCGTATTTTGGATACTCATATTTTGAAATAGTTTGTGATTTTTTAAAATGCAACCGTTATCTAAAATGATCAAAAGTAAGATAAGAAAGAAAAAAAAAAGAAATCGAGAACGTATTGCAATTATTCCTAATTTCAATAGATTATTATCGGTTCTGTTCAACTACTCAGTTGTTTCCTTTGTAGCTCAACAAGATAGGATCTTTCTATTCTTTTTTTTCTCAATCGTTAATTCAAAACTATAGTAAGAAAATAAAGAGTACTATCGACAGGGGAGCAAGAGACGTATACAATACAATAAAACTCAAGAGTTCAATCGTTGTCATCAGCCGTTGTCGATCCGTCGGCAAGAATATAAAAGCTATTTAACGATCTATACGGATGAGAGTCTAGCATAGATTCTCTTACATTCTACATGTTTATATGAACCGAAGTCACATACACATACACAAATAATTACTACATTGACAAAAGCCAAGTATGAACTTGAAGAAAAAAAATACAAGTGATGACGTAGATGGCAAAAGAACAAAAGAAAAAAAATTGAAAATAATGATTAATTCGTCATAGAACAATTTGGCAATACAATAGAGAAAAAAAAACTAAACAGAAAGGTAACGTTATTAATACTATATCATGGTTTTTGTATATTAATATGTGTTTTTAAACAAAAGATAAACAACCATATTTCGATATCTTACTTGTTCTTCAAAAAAATATTGAGAATCAAATAGTATAAAGGCTTTCAGCATCGCTAATTTATATGAGAATTTTGCTCGCCTGAAATCATTTCACTGCTCTTATCATTTAATAGTCTAATAGTTGCAAATGGTAAACAACCAAGACTACACAATGTAATGTCGTCGTTCATAGAATATGATGAGTTAGCTCGAGGCATGCAAAAAAGAAAAGGGTTTGTCACGAACCATTTACTTTATTGTAGAAATTTTTAATCCTATATATTTATAGATACAAGAAAAATATAACAGAGTAGTAGAGAGAGAGAGAGACTAGGTCAAAGAAAAAAAAATGAACAAGTTCTTGACGGCTCAATTAATGGATATTGTAGGCGATGTGTAAATTAGTAAGCTGGAAATAGATCTAAAGCGAATGAAAGAAAGGAAATGACTTCGACATCGTGAATTTCAGTGGTTGAATTATTGTCGCTGAAGAACATTTCCTGTATTGTATTGGTGAACGCCAGCTAGTTGATTAAATATAAGTTGAATTAGTTGAATACGTGTTTGATCATTTAGTTCATTGTTAATAGAAAAATAAAAATATTGCTCATATTCTCGTGGATATGTTGTTAATGTTTCAGTTATTAAACCACCTTGAGATTTATGTTCACTACATGTCCAAATAACAATCGTTTGATAATCAGGAATATCAGCCGCATTACTTAATTTCCATCCACGATTAAATTGAAATTCATTCGGTAGAATCGAAGATATTTCTGCTAATCGATTTGATGAATATGTTGGTAATTGATTTAAAAAAAATTCTGAACCACCAATTACTGTAGGAATTTTTATTTTTGTTGATTTATTTTGTTGTAAACGTTCTATTGTCTCAAGTGCCAATAGACCGGATGCTGTATGATGACCATGTGATTCTATACTTGGTAGCATAATAAGCATTATATCATAACCTTGAGTACTATTACCAGTTCTTATTACTTGTTCAAGTAATTGAATGATGATTTCTTTATTCCATTGTTCAGCAAAAACAATATCAACATTTCGATCATATTTTAAATCTAATTGGTCAAAGAAAAAAAATTTTCGAATTCCTAATATTTTTCCACTAGCTAATAATTCTTGTTTACGTATACTTGGTAAATGTTGCCTGCCAATACTTTCCTTTGATAACTGTAAATTATTATATAAGTATTCAGATGGTGCAGAATATCTAAAACCACCTTCACCGTTGGTTATACAAACAAGATCAACAATAGCATTAATTTTATGTACTAATGCATGAATAAAACCTGCAAACAGAGTTTCATCATCAGGATGTGCAATGACAACTAATACAGCTAATGTAGAATTCATCATACAATAAAATTTTGTGTTATCTTATGTTAAAATATTTGTAATATTTACTGAAAAGATTAGATATAAAAGCATATGATATACATGTTCGTCTTTTTTTTTGTTCTGATCAGACAGAACTACAGAGAAAACATACAAAATAATTTTTTTAATAAGGAAAAAACGAAAACGCTATTTTTTATTATGCATTCTGCATGATTGAACGTTCAATAGCCATATTAAGTACATCACGTGCACAATCATAAATAAATCGATATTGTTGTTCAGTTTGAATAACACCACAACGTTGATGTCGACATTCTTTAGCCATTGAATAAATATCTAATGTTCTTCCACGTATTATTTTAATTAAAAGTAAACTTATTAATAATGCACATCCTGTTCGTCCAACACCTGTATTACAATGAATCAATAATGGTGTATCACTTGTTTGATATGAATGTGCTAAATATATAAGATTAAGAAATGATTGTGTATCATGTGGAATATTGTCATCCATAGGCCAATTAGTATATGTTAAAAACATAACTGAATGTTCATGTTTTTGATGTGATTGTTCACTTATACGAATATGAAATTCTTTTATATCAATACCACCATCGAATTGACGATGTTTTATTAGTGTTACAGATAAGCTATAGAGAAAAGAGAACACGTTTATTGACATATGAAAAGAAAAAGAGTTCTTTTCTTACAATGGTGAAAGTGTCATTGTTGCTTTAATAGTTGTTGGCCAATAAATAGGACATTTCATTTTTTTTAAATCTTGTTCATTAAATATTCCAATTATAGATTGAATACGTCGTTCGGCAATCATTTGCCAAAAATCATCTAAGACAGTAAAAGAAAGCTTTTTTTTTTTTTATTTAAAAAGAATAAAATAAATTATACTGACTGATACTCTCAGGTACTGGCGGTGGACAAATTATATATTTCATTGATTTATCTCCAAATGGTATTGCTATATGACTTGCATTAATATAATCTGGTTTTGTTGAAAGTATAACACGATTAAAATCATATGGAACTATATTTTGAAAACGGTTTAATGTTTTATTTCCAGGTTGCATTGCTATAGAAGTTAATTCAATTGGTTCATGTTCATTGATAGTTTTTAATGCCTAAAACCAAATTTTGTTTTTGTTTTTACAGAGTTTTTTGTTTTTAATCTAATATAAAGTGATATTTACTCGAAATTCTTCTAAATATTCATCAGAATCAATTTTCATCTCGATTTCACGACATTCATCCATTAATGTTGTTGTATCCATTGTTATAGCTGGTGTGCTAATTTTATCAATTAATTGCATAGTTAAATTTTCAATCTTTTCAGTAATACCAGCATTTAGTATTAAAGTTTCATTTGATGCAGCTTGCTAAGAAAAATTTTAATGAAAACTATTAATCTCTTAAAATTGAATTAAATCGATTTACTTACTTGATAATATTGTTTTTGTTTAGCAATTTCATTTGCTTGAGATGCTAAAAACTCAAATATTTTTCAAATTGATTCATAAGAAGTTTTTATATTTACTTGATAATGATTTTGAATTTGTCGGTGGTACTTTTAATTCAAGAACTGTTGGCAACGGTGCTGTAGGTGATTGAGGACTTATTAACGGTGTTTTTATATCGCTTGTATCTTCATCAATATCTGTATTTGAAACGGGAGAATCTTTTTTCTTATCATTATGTGATTGATTTTTATTTGTCATTGTTTCGAAACTAGTTGATGGTAATGGTTTGATTTTTTTACCAATAAGAGCTTGTAATGCAGAACCTGGTGGTAAAGATGGTGGCGCAGCAGCAGAAGCCACAACAGCTCCCGTTGAAGATGACGATGATGTCGATATGTCAATAAAATCAGGTGATACAGGAGTAGTAGCAGCAACTGCTTGTGGTTTTTCAGGAGTTATTAAAGGAAGTAATTTTGGTTTTTCACGTGGTATCAATTTTTCCATAACTGATGAAGCAATAAATGGTGGTGTTGATGTAGGTATTGAGGCTTCCTCATGTGTCTAAAAATATTTAAACCAACATTTTTTATTAAAAAACGTTTTAAACCTTGCATAAACTACAAATAAAACACGTATTGTTAATTAATTTACCGTTGAAATTTCTTTATTCGAAATAATATTTGGTTTATTCGATGTCGAAGAATCTGTTATTGGTCTAAATTGAATATATAATTAAAATGATAAATCATAATATAGAAAACAAAAATACCTAGCAATTACCAACTTAACGCCTTTCTTTGTTGATGCTTTTAATGCTTCGACAACTTCACGATAAGTCATTTGATCAGTATTACGATCATTAACATATAATAATCGATCATCAATTTTCAAACGTTCATCTTTTTCAGCGATTCCATTTGGTTGAAGAGCACATATAAATATACCACCAAGTGGTTGTTGAGGATCAATTTGACTAAGTCCAATACCGTATGTTCCCTGAGGAGATTTAGGCAATGATATTTCTATTTTTTCATATTGCTAAAAAATACATAATCACTTAATTGATTGTATAACATAGAAAATAATATGAAGTCTCACCACTGGTTTATTAAACAATTCAGATTTACTAGATTTAGTAGGCATGACAGGTGATGGTGGAGCAGAAATGCTTGTTGCAGATTGATCCTACAAATACGTATCATATAAAACATATTCTATTGATCTCGAATCAAACAAAAACACACACACGCACACACAGTCGTATTGTTAAGTAGCGTTAATCTGTTTAAGAAAGCGTAATGGAGATATAAAAAAAAAACAAAAAAGAAGTTTTTCTTTTTTTTTAACACATGCGAAGTGATCACAAAAGAGAATAGAGAGTGAAAAGCATCACTCTCTAACTCACGCCAACACTTATTGATCCATATGATGTATTTTGTAATTGTCGACTTTTTTCTTTTGCATGTACAATTTCATCAATACGTGGTCGATAAATAATAAAATGTACAGGGCCTGTTGGTGCATAACGAAGACGTGCAACAAGATCACGATGTGTTATTGTTTGACAATCTGAATCATTTATTGCTAAAATACGATCCCAATGTTTTAATCCAGCTGATAGAGCAGGTTCACGTAATACCGATCGGATATGTGGATATCCAATCGATGTTGAACCTGCTGATAGTGTAAAACCAAAACCACTATCTTTTTCTTTGTTCATTATCACAGCAAAAACCTAATGTGCGTTTGAAAAAGCGTTTCAATTATTGCAAGACAGTTAGAATCATTGTAAAAGAAAAGGGAAATGTAAATGAGAAATATAAGCTATTTTTGAAGAGTAATCATACACTGAATCTCTTTTTTTCTTAAAAGCATTTTTTCAGTGTTGACACTCACAAATTTTATTTGCCCACCATATATGTTCACATTCAAAATAGATCTTTACCTCACCACGTTTAACTTTTGGTGGTACTTTTGACATAACACGTCTACTACCAGGTGATTTTGGTGGTAAATCACGAAGTGGATCATTTGAAGACCGAGTTTGTTCATTATTTATAGACCCAGATCTAGTTGGTCGACTTGACTGATTAAAACTATTCATTTGACGATCCTAATCGAATATAAACAAAAATTAATTTTTCAATTATTTTAATCAAAGAAAAAACAAAAGAAAGTATATAAACCAAATAAGCTTGATATTCTCGACGATCGGGTCGACAAACAACAAGCTTAACATTGTCTGGTGATTCAGCAATTATCGATGGTACATCCTAGAAAAAAAAAATCTTTGTTCTATCTTTATAATAATCAAATAAACATACTCGAACATTTCGATTATGCATAAGAACATCATTAATGGATAAAACAATATCACCAATATTTAATTGGCCTGATAAAGCAGCTGGTTGATTTGGATAAATATCAATCATTTCAACAGGCTTATTTTCAGCTGCTCCACCTGATAAACTAAGACCTAAACCATTAGGACCACGATTTAGATAAACTTCAAATGTGTTCTCTAAAATAATCGAAAGATATATGAATAATAATAAGTTTAATTCTTAATTTAAATTATATACCTGAATGAACAAATGGATAAATTTTATTTATCGATGATGAACGTAAATTACTTGGAAAAATAAGACGTTGAACAAGCAAATGACATTTAGGTCCTATTGCTCGACGAAATAATTCAACAGCTTCCGAGTGGGTTACACGTGCTAATGATGCACCATTTACTTCAAGAATTTTATCACCTAAAAAGAAACAAAAACTTTTTGTTCAATACAACGGAATTAAAATAAAAAAGGAAAAAAGAAATTAACCTTCTATTAATAATTTTGATCTTGCAGCAGCACCACCCGATGTTATACTCTTAACATAAATTCCATGATCTTCAATTTCTGAATCAAGACCACCCTTGAAAACAAAAATAATATTTTGATTCTTTTTTCTCTAATCAACTAAAACATTGATTACATACAACAACAAGAAAACCAAGACTATTATGACCCGATTTATCAATAGTTACAGGAAATACAGCACTTTTTATATCATGTGTAGTTGAAAGATCAGATGCTTGTGTAAGAATACTTTCATTCGATAGAACACGTTTTGATGGTAAAACATTAGAAAAATTCTCATGTGACCATGTTGTCTATAAATATCAAAACAAAACAAACAAGTTAATATCATTTAAAAGTGTAAAATAATCATACCTCTGTAGTATTTGATGGATTTTTATTCTGCTTTTTTTGTTGCAGAAAAGAATCAGCATCAACACTCATTGGCCGTTGTAAATAATTTCGTCGATTTAATGTTGGAACTTCATGCCTTGATAATTTTAATCGACAAGGATTTGGTGATAGACTAAGAGCCTCAGCTACTTCTTGTATAGTCATACCATTAATACTTTTTCCATTATATGATAAAAGTCGATCACCTATTTAGTAATGAAATTTTTTCGAAATAAAAAAAAGAACTTTCTTCAATTGTCTTTTTTACCTGTTTGAATTTTTCCTGATCGTGCAGCACTTCCATCAGTTGGCTGAATTGATTTAATAAAAATTCCAGATGCTAAATCGCCCATAAGTGACATGCCGAAACTATTATTACTATCTTTATATAAATCAACTTCATAAACAACAATAGAAGGTGAATTAGTTGTTGTATTTCTAAAATCAATATTTTAATAGATTTTAGTTTAAAATAAATGATTTTATTTATTAAATCTTACTTTCCTAATGTACTTAAATTTTCATGTGATTGTGATCGACTTTGATCAGGCTAAACTAGGAACAAATAATTTTACGAAGAAAAAAAGAAATTTAACTTATTGATCATACATTCAGATCAACACTTTCGGTATCGGAACCATTACGAACAAAGTCAACTACACAAAAAAATAAAAGCTTTCTTTTAGATATTCTTTTTATCAAACTTACTTTCACCAATCGGTTCATTTAATAAGCTATATCGACTATTATGACGAAGAAGAAGTGATTTTGTATACGTATATGTATCATAGCATAAATTAAATAAATGTTTTCCTCTATAAAGAAAATTAGAACAAAATAGAAAAGAATTTTAATAAAAAAAAAAAATATGTAAAATACTTACTTTTTACTATTATTAGTTAAATATTTAATTTTTCCTTCATTTATTTGACGTTTAAGTATAATAGAAAATGATTTTTTATCATAAGCTATTCGTTCAATTTGATCCCAAGCATAAGTTAATTTTGTTTGTCGTTGTCGATTTTTTAATTGCCAAATTGATATATCTCGTAAACGTATACCAACAAGATATGTATCATCACGTTTTAAATCTTTGTATAATTTATACATATGATAACCATAATTTTCTATATGAAGAATAAATTATTTTTTTCCGTTCTACATTTTTCTTAACTGTAGCTGCCTATCACAATTAGCAAATTGCATGAGAGAACTTTCCTAACTATGAGACGTCATATAAATTTATGAAAAACTATAATATAAGGCAGTTTTTGTACTAAGAAACGATACTTGTTTTGTGTTTCAATGTATGACATAGAGATAAACAAAACCTTTCTTCAAGTTCGACACAAACTTACAAAATTCATATAGCAGAAATCAGTAGATTTATCCTAAAAAATCAGGAGTTTACCAAGAGAAAATTCAAGAGAATTTTATTCGAATTTAGAAAAGTACATATCAATTTTTCTCGAAGACTACTGAAAGATTCATTCCGTTAAGCGTTTTTCTCTTTGTCATATTAGATTGATAACGGGAATATTTTCTTAAAAATCATGTCGAATGAAGAAGAAAGATAATCAGTAAAACTTCTATTGTCCTTCTTTGCAGGATCGTTTATTAGAATATACTAAAAAAAAAAACAATAGAACAGAAAAATCAATACATAATCCAATATGAATTAGAAAAATATGAGTATGCATGAAACCAAAAATTGTTTTCCTTCTGATTTATGACCCTTTTAGAATTGAAGGAGAAACAGCAGACTTCAAAAGACTTCTTAATATTTAATAAGAGCTCATGAAACTTCAAGGCTGAAATCTTGACTATTTTCCCTCATTTAGAACATGACTGTACTCTTTTGAAAGGACTCTGTTTGAGAAGATCTGGTTTACTTAGTAAATAATAGAAAACTGTACCATTAGTACTCAATATTTACTTTTATTTAAAATTCTATTGTAAGTAACGAGGAAACTGCTCCAGATGTAAAATCACTTTGCGACGAAGACGATGTTCATTTAGTGACTGTTAATCAATGATAGAAGAGTCTAGAATAGTTTGTTTTTCTGAATATTCGTTCTTAAGGTATCGAAATTCTGCTGAACTATGCAACAAAAAGCTGTGGTCCACCTCAAGTTATGTAAGAGTTTTGATTTCAAACTTTGTTTATGTAAATTTTAAAGTTCAAACTCTCATATGACCTGAAGAAGTTCATAGGTTTTTGTTGAAAAATCCAGTAAAATTTCGATATCTCAAGAACAAAAGCTCATTAAAATCCAACTATTCTAGACTTTTCTATTTTTCACTAGCACTCGTCAAATGAACATCGTCTTGGTCGAAAAGTGATTTGTCACCTGAAGAGATTTCCTTGTAAGTTGTAAAAACATTCTGTTTTAGTTTTTATCCGAAAAAAAAATTCCATGAGATTGAAAACATTTCGAAGAATACAATGTTCATTAAATATTACAATAAATCAGTGATCTTATCCTTATTGTTCTTAATTCACAATATCTCTTAAATTTAAAGTAAAAAATTAAAAATCACGAGATTTGATAAGTCTCATTCGACATGTATTAAACTATCGAAAATCCTTGACTGAATCATTCTCTCTATTCAGATGCAGTTAACACCAACTATTTATAACTCTCTAATATGATACTTCTTTCGATTATTGGAGAAGAAAAATAAATCAAATATGCTACCTAATTTCATCACATTTTCTATAAACAATTGTTCAGCTTGTACATCATTTAATTCAGCATAAAAATGTTGTCTTTTAATGATTTCTTGTCGTAAATTTGGAATGCCATACTAAACTTAATAAAACGCATTAAAAAAAAATACTTTTATTTAAATAATTTTCAAACCTGATTAATTAACTCATTTGATGCATAATGTTCGACGATAAAATCAGTTGATAATTTTTCATTATCAATTGAATCCCCATATTCAGCTTGATAAGCTAATGTTGCAAATGATAATTTTTGTTCACTTGTTGTTTGAAATGTATCAGCAAGAATCATTTGTCGAAATTGTAAATAAAAAAAATGTTGTGTAAGAAAATGTCTAAGAAATAAAATAATTTACATTTATTTTATTAAATAACGAAGAAAAACAACCTAAGTAAAGCAATATCATTAACAAAATATTTTATTTTTAATTGCATAACAAATGTAGTTTGACCAGTTTTCCATTTCGAATCATTTATTAATTTCGATATTTTAAGATCCATTGCAGGAAAAAAATATTCACCATCTAAATAAGAAAATTTCATATTAAGTAAATCCATTAAAACAAAAATAAAATTAACCGATTAGAATAGTAAGACCAAAGAGATCATGTTCAATTAAATCAGCATAAGTTACAATAGTTTCATAGATAATTCGCACAGTAGCATTTGATTTACAAGAAAGTTGTACACGATTATTATTAGGAAGAAGAATAACAACTTGACAAATACATTCAAATGGATTCTTTTATAAAAATAGTAAAAGAACAATGCTCATTATTAAATAAATATTTAACTTACTCGACTAGGGACAGTGATTTTTTCAGCTTTACTATCAGATTGTATAACAAATTCAGGTCCGACTTGTTTCTATTGAAAACAAAAAAAAAAGAATTAATTAATAGATTATTAAAATATCCTGAGAAATTTTAATTATACATAAAACGATATAACTATCAAAAAAAAAATCTTTTTCGAACGCTTTATACTGATTGCTAGTATATAATAGCTGAACTCATGTAAAATGATTGGAAAGAAAATGCATATATATATATATGGTTATAATATGCGAAACCAATTATTATTCATTTGAAGGAATTAGAAAGAAATGAACTGCAGTAGGACATGTCAAAATGCCAATGTCCTTTGAAAGTGACTGATATTGGTATTTTGACATGCCTAATTGAAGTCTCACATATAATAGGAGAAAAAAGTAGTCTTCTCTGAATCATGAAATATATATATTAATGATGAATATTGTGCTCAATTATAAATTATATGGATATTCAAATGTTCAAAAAAAACTTTAATAATTTTAATAAGATAATAAAAGATTCTTGATTATAATCAAGTCTTGAACATTAATAAGGGTTTCATCGATATCTTTTCTATTGAAAATATTTCTCATTTTTACTTTTTTCTAACTAGATACAAAAGAACAAGATTACAATTGAATCCAGCCATTTACAAGACTTTATTTCTACATTCTTTTGAATTTATTCAATCAATTAACTTTATATTATTACTAGAAAAGAAGAGAATAGAATTTCATCAAATAAATTAATGTGTTTCGTAAATAATTCCTCTCCAACAATAATGAAATAAAAGTATATTCAAATCACAAACGTCTCGAAAACAAGTATCCTTCTCTTCTACATATCATCGTCTCCTATTTTACCACTAAACTTAAAGGAAACTGTAACATAATATGAGGAATATTAAATTTCCACCAAGATAAATAATCATTATTTACTCGAAAAAGTAATTTTCGCCGTCGTTTTCGATAGACAGAACTATTTAATGAAGCATTTAGATCAAATAACGATGATTGATTTGTTGTATCAGCTCTATAAACCCAAATAAGAACATCCATTCTCTTTTTTTTTTCTATATGTTCTTCTATTAATAACTTACAATGGTGTTGGAGTAAGATCAGGCATACTAGTTGATGATTTTCTATTAATTGTTGTTGTTAGGTCTTTATTCATAGATGGCTTTTCTGGCTCGGGAAAAACATTAGCTAAAAAAACAACAAAATATTTTCTTTTTTTTTCTTTTTAACAATAAAAAAAATATTCACTTACGAAGTCTTCGTTTTGCTTTAAGACGTTCTCTTAATTGTAATAATTTGACTGTATCTTCATTAGTTAAATCTTCTGGTAAATTAAGTTGTGCTCGTAATTGTTCTAATTTTCGTTTTTTATTTAATAAACGTTTTCCTCTTGTAATAAAATCTGCATTATTTTCAAATATTTGAAATAAATCTTCAATAGCTGAATGAGATCCTAATTGAGAATAATCATTTGTTAACGTTGCTGTTGATTGCGAAGGAATTTGCGGAAGATAACGTCTTGTACTCATTGAACTATAATTATCGTGATGATCAATGGCTTGATCGAGCAAACGTAAAACGTGCTCGTCGGTGAGTTCCTAATTGAAAAAAAGGAAGATACCATCAATCTAACTTGTATGTGACAGATGTACAATCGAAGGTCATCTTCTGACAATTCAAGAAAAGAATGAAAGCAAAGATGATGTGTATACACAAGATTAGGTAAACAAGTCTGTTTTTTTTTGCTATAAAATGATGTACTTCATTTGGGTGTGCACAACAGTTCGAAAAGACCAACAGAAAAAAATTTAAAGTAGCTATGATGTTGACTACAATAAGATGCAACAGCTGGCAATAGCAAGAATACTTTTTAGAGATGGCAATAAGCAAGTCAAATGATGAGAAAGAGGGCGTGAGAGAGAGAGAGAGAGAGAGAAAGAACGAGAGAAATAAATATGTGCATGCGCATGTTTATGTGAGTACCTTCGATTCACATTTTACAAATGAGAAAAAAAGAAAGAATACTGGATGGTTTTTTTTTGAATTTCAACGAAACATATATATATAGGTATGCATGTCGAAGCCTTGATTTACGTTCAACAAGGGATTTGTTTATGATGTCATTCATCGAGAAAAGATTGGTAACATGTATATAATTTTGAAAGGTTTCGTGTTAATCAATATAAGTAAAAGTATAGAAAGAAAAAATAATAATCCTTTGATTTATCTTTTATGTAAATATATTAAATTTTTATTTTATTTCAAAATTAATTAACATTTGTTCATACCATTAAGGAATTATTGTCACCACTACCACGACTGGAGTTCATACTTCTACAATTACTGTTGAAACTCCCATTACGAGACCATTTTCGACTATCGTCATAATACATTTTATTAGTGATAGACAATTTATTATAAATATAATTCTGAAACAATGATGATATTTCTAGACCATAAACAACAAAGAAACCTCTTAATTTTAAGACGTAATAAAAATTGTTGTTTGCTTTAATTTTATAAATTGAATCTTTTTTGCAAGGTATCTTTCAACTATTGAATATTAATTTAACAACACTCATTCATTGGGATTGGCTAAAGACGCCATAATATTTAACGTTGCTATATAACGAACCCTGATATGATAATAAATAATTTATAACTACGTTAAAAGCTCGAAAAAAAACAAAAATACAAAATAAATTAATACTTTCAGCATTTGGAAAAAGAAATAATAAAGAACATGTATTATTCATATGCGCCACCTCTCGACATTCCTAATAGATTTAATAATTTTTAAGCCATTTCTACAATATTGAATTTGGTACTATTTTATTTTAAATCGAACTTTAAACGAAAATAATACATAGATAGTCGAAATTTTCTGATATTGCTAGTCAATTATCATACTACAGCTGAAATAAAAACAGATGCTTTTTTGTCAACAATCGTGTTCTTTTCTAATGTCATGGTTGTTATTTACCATTGTTACCATTGAAAAACATTCAAGTATCTTCTATAAAGTATTTTCATTTAACATACATGTTTTGACAATAATTACAATTTTTCTTCGACGTTTTTTTTTTCTTCTTTAAAACAATTATTTAATTCCATATCCATTGTTGTTTATTCGGCGACATAGTGTCTTAATATATATTCCGAAAGAAAAAGATGTTAAAAATCATATTTGAGCATTTATATAAGATTTTCCATTCAATTTCTTTTTTGTTTTGTATTTAGAAAAGAAGTTCAGTCAGATCTCCGTGAACATCATGAATTCAAAATAGATTAGGAATAATTTTGATGGAATGTGAGAATAATATAAGTACAACACCGAAATACAACCACAATTAACAGAGTCATTTTTTTCAAAACTTTGTTCCATTCATACAAAAACAAGCACATGATTTTTTGTTTTTTTTTCTTTTCTGTCTTGATACTACACCTTTTACAACAGTTGTCAGGCATATAAAATTGTTTTTTGCTCTTTTAAAAGTCAAATATGAAACTTGCTAAGAATATAGTTACACTTTTTCTTATCAAGATACCACAAATAGGAAAGAAATATTTTGTTTTTTTTTTCAATTCAATACTGCAAGATGCCTATTAGTTTATATTTTCCGATGTGCCTATTTGTATAGATTCACTTGTTTCAATGGACTAAACAAGAAGAAAAAAAAAGATAGGATGACGCCTACGTGTTTATTTTTGTAAAGGAATGATTTTAGAAAAAAAAACGTAACAACATGCAAGAAAGGAAGAAAGTAAAAGTCGTAGTTATTCTCTTTATCGACAAATGGTGCATGCAATTTATTATTTTTTATATGAGCAAGCAAAAAAAAAATATTAATGCTTTTGTTTTTGCTTTCCTCCCGATTTATTTTTTAAATATTTTGTATACTAAATGAAAAAGAAAATGCCTATAAAAAAAATCTAGATGGCTCGAGTTGCTATTTTCTTTCTGCGTCAAACTAACAACAATGATTCATTGACAAGAAAAATACCCACTCGCAACGCGCAACCAGCATTGCTATATATGGCTTGATATCTTTACAAAAGGTGAACTGGGTTTTTTCTACAACATGCAATAGCAATACTTTTTCTTCTTCCAGCTGACGTCAAAGCATGTCATCCAGATAATTCTTTATTGACAGAGGCTTTTTCCAGTTTTGTTTTTCTTTTCCATTATATTGGTTCTTCTTATCACTTCAGAGATGTGGTGAATTTTCTGGAGTTTTCGAATAATATATATATATATGAATATTCTTCTGATCATTTTGCTTTTAGCTTTGTAGATCAATAGTTAAAGAAAGAGTCTTTTAGCCACAGAAATGCAAATAATATTATCTTCAATTCAATGTTGGAATAAACTGGAGAGCAATCGCTATCGAAATACAAACTTGCAGATCTCATACAAGCTAATGAAACAATATGTAAGTACAATTTAGTATGATGATTATTTCTTTCAAAAGATACTCCTATGATGAAATGCACCGTCATCACTCCTCTAGAGTGATATTTCTGCGTCGTACAAAGTGCATTAGTTTGAGGACATCAGTACGAGTTAGTAATGATTAATTTCGCAATATTTCAATAACTATGGAAATTTTGTTAATAATGTTTTATGACAGAACATCATTATTAGTTTATTTGAAATTATGAGCAAAACTAATTTAGTTAATAGTATTTCATTAGCCATGATAGAAGTTTAAACGTATGTTTTAATACATTGAAAACATTAGTCATAGCAACGGGTTGAAAAAAAACATGTTGTTGATAGATGCTTTGTCTGTAACCTTACATGAGATCATTCTTTAGCTATCGATTCACAAAATGAGTATGTTTTTAGTTTAAATTAATGTTTCGAATAGAACTCCGCACATCTGATTCAACAACCATCTTTTCACAGATAGTTATTTTTTTTAATCCAGCGAACGCAAGTTTTATGCTATAGACGAATCCTACAGTACGTACTAATTCAGTATCGTATACAATGATGTCGGAAGTATTGAATACCGTCGTTCGTATTACAATGCTGACAAGTAATTATTTTCTTTAAAGAACATTAAAAGACAGTAGTATAGATTTTATCTGATTTTTCATCCAGATATCTAGGCACTCCGTTGTGTCAGATATATGTAAAGAAACGACAGCATAAATGATAGATTTCTGATAACGACAGCTTTTTTGTTAACACGATGAGCATTGTCGCATTTGCTGAGAAAACTTTTAACTATGTGTTTCTCTAATACTATGTTGAGAGCTGATCTGGGACCGTTTTTAATAAGAAGCTAATTCAGTAGTAGGTGTCCATCCACGTTCACAGTTTCTTAGTATCAATGCTAATATACACAATTGTTCCAAGTAATGACGAAAACTGTGTCAAAATTTCAGTACTAAACAATTCATTCATGAGGTAGAGAAGCCAGTAAAATAATCTTGCTTCAATTCTGTGGTTAGTGGGCTTTTTCCCACTATGAATGTTTGGTATTTATGAAGAGCATTGTAGGTTTTTTTTATTATAAAAGTAATAAAAAAAAAAAGAATTATGAATTTTATTTTGATTTTGATTAAAGCTATAAAATACAAGACGAAAAAAGGTACTATTTACTTGCATTTGATAAAGATTAAGAATCATAGAATGGGATGCAGAGTTCTTCATGATTATTTGATCCCATAAGATACAGCGAAATATCTTTCACCATAGAAAGATTTTATTTTTGAGTACTATCCCATCTTACGTAGAACTCTGCTCTTTAAATGATATATAAACATCGCTAATGAATAATTTTTTCTTTCGTTTTAGTATAATTGATAAATACGCCATTCAAATAATAATAAAAACCAACTGCACAACTCTATTATTTATATAAAATCAATGTATGTGATTGATGTTCGAACTCTGGTGGATTTTATAATGAAGGTTATGGAAATATAATGTGTATGCTTGTTGAAACTAGTTATAAAACGTCAACTTACCTCTTCTAACAATTACTTACAGTCAGCTGTGAATTGCGAATTGGACAATCGTCAACCAAAATTATTGGTGACCAGTAGAAAACGATAATTGCTCAATACTAGTAGTCCGACCAGGACATTCTCTCTCTCTGTGTAGTACTTGCGCATTCTCTCCGTTCTTGTTTGTTTAATACCGTATTACTCTACTAGACATTCTTTCGCAAACACAAAATCTTATGGCTACTGAAAGTGTACCTATGGAGCGAAAAAAAAACCAGAAGTTTTGTTAAGTTATTATCCATTGATTATATCGGGATCATTAACTGACTCAAGCCGAACATTCTACGTGCTTGTTTGATGCATTTTCGACGGATCTAGATGAGGATAGGACATTCGATCAAAGCGGATGTTTTACATCTTCAATAAATCCAAATTGAGAAAAATCGTACAGAATTGATCGACAATAGAATGATTATTTCAGGGTCATATGTCATTTTTTGTTGAAAAGTGAACACGTGAAATAATAATATATGTAACGTGTATATTAGATTTTGTCTTTTGATGAACCTTGAAATATGACTATTAGCCGATGTTTTTTGTATCGGTTGAACTCAGTTTTCGATTTACGCTGATATCACTGATTCTATTGTCGTCATAAGAACTGTGTATCAGACATTGTGGTAGATATTTGTCTTGAGCATGAAACATTACGAATGGTATTTGCTCAATAGTGCAATTCAGAAGTACTGATCATTATTTACAGAAAAGGAAACTACCTAAGAGTCAAAAATTACATCCAGTCAAATGCAGTTCACATTCCGAAATGCATTACCTCACCCTGTAAAAAATCTTTAGTGTAATCGCCATAGTATTAAAATGTGAAATACGATTGATCTCTTCTACCCGATAAGAAACCCTCGTCCGTTTACTCAATTTGTATCATATTATTCCTGATTATTATAGAGAGTGATCTATCGAAATACCTGTCGAGCTCTATGACGCTAGAGGGAGATTGATGCATTATTCCGATCTGTTATAGTCTGTGAGACCACAAAATGACGCTTATAAACACGCAGAATGAACGAAAAAACCGCTTGATACGCCGTTACCGCACATCGTACAAGTGACTGTTAAAGCCGCCGCTCTGTCACAGATAGGGATGAATCAATTCCAATTTCAACCAATTCTAAGAATTGGAATTGGATTTGATGCATCTCTATCTGTGACAGTCTATTGTCAATAGACTGTCACAGATAATGGATGCATCAATTCCAATTTCAGCCAATTCTAAGAATTAAAATTGGTCGGAATTGGATTTGATGCATTCCTATCTGTGACAGTCTATTGAGGAGCATTTTTATAGCTCGTGTGATCAAGGTTCCCGTTGCTGAAGGGCCTCATCCGCTACGAATTCGGATGAGGGCCTTGCCCTTAGCGGGTGAGGTCCTTCGCATTTTTTATGCAATTATAACTGTAACATTATATCATTAGAGCAGAAACGCTTTCGTGCACATTTCAGATTGTGATAACATAGTTTTTCCTCTTATAATAGAGAAGATATATAAATATATATGTTATAGGTAGTTTTTTAGGTTATGAGATTACTTCTGTTATTGAAGTAATCCTGTGTTGTATTAGCGAGTTTAGTTAAATATTCATTTTTTTTTGTTTTGTTGTGATAATAATTTAATGTTTTTTTTTGTATATGTATTTTTTTAATGTTTTCTATTTTGGTTTGAATAAAAATATTTTTTGATAAAATAATTCTATTTTTATTACTCAAATGATTGTGAAAGAATTTTCAGTTCATTTAATATTAAATTCAATGAAACTTTGGATTTATTTCATTGATTTGTTTATCGATTGTCGAACTTTTGTATTTGAAACATTGAAGCAATGTTTTATCTCGAGTGGGCGAGGATAGGAGGGAGGAACTGAGAGAATGATGCCACTGTGATGATATATTTGATACTCCTCCAGTTGTAATATACACTATGAATTTATCATTTCAAGAATAGATTTTCGGTTTATCGGCATTTTAAATGGTACTTCCGACAGAGAAAAATCTGTATAAAACATCACATTTAAGTAATTAGTTGTGGATTATTATCATGTCGATTCTCGATAGAAATTCATATTTTATTGCCATAGATCAGTGCAGTGATATGTATCAATCAAATAATCTTAATACAATAAACATTGAGTTTATTATTCTGAAAGACTCATGCCTACGGATCTATCATCACTATATACGAAAGATCCTACCAATAGAAATAAATCAAATTCTAGTCTTGAATAATCAATTTTTTTAATTAACATTTTTGTATTAATAACTTTGTAAATGCTCTTTTCATAGAACGAAGAAAAATATTTCGAATATATCCACTTATGAACACTGAAAGATAAGCTAAAATAACTTAAATTTCGGTTTTGAAATCTTAAATATATTCATCGAAATTTTCCTTAATCATTATTAAACATGAATTACTCTCATTTCGTATGAATCAAAGGCCAATCAATCCATCATTCATTAGTTGTCGATATTAAATGAATACGTAATCTATACTATGCAAAACATTCAATCGACAAAATAAACATTGTTTTAACTAAAATTGAGCTTGACTGTTATGGAAACTAATGAATACGTTTAACAACCAATCTACAGTAATTGCTAAACAAAGGCATAGAAAATATTGTAAGTTTATTTATTTTTCAATTAAAACAAAAATTCTTTTTACATCAATGTCTACAATAATTATCGAGTTAATTTAATTTCATAGTTCATATTCATAAATATGTTCATATCAAAATAAAAAATGATAAATAAAATAATAATATTGATAAATCTAAATGATTACTTGAGTTACAATAATCCGAATTACAACAATATATTTGAGTATTAGCAGATGATGTTTCAGTTGGGCAAAAAAATACTGAACCTTTTGATATTAGACGACGATCATCACCTAAATTCACAACTGTTTTCTATGAAAAACATATCATATTTATTTTCTTTCTTTCATCAATAATAAAAACTTACTGTACATTGTGCAAGAAAATTCGTATTGTTCGTTAGAGTTACATATGGATAAGTTTCAATAAATGGTTCTGGACAATCTGTACATTGATAACATACGATTGAATTAACCATTTGAAAATCTATATGAATAGATATTAAAATTAAATTCTAATGAAAAATTTATATATGAATTACTAGATAACAAGAATATTCCAATTAATAATCGATGAATTTGTATCATGCTGATTGACTGTATTCGATTGTCTACCAATGATATAAATCAAGGTGAATAAACTTTTTTTTTTCTCTTTTTGTATAAAAGAAGTAGAAATAATTGTTCATTCATTTATCTTTTTCTTTTCATTTCAAAATAATGCCTCCGCAATAGCTAATAAATATATATTGTGTTCATTTTTTTTGTTGTCCTTATTACATTTCAATTGTTATCATATTTGATGAAAGAAGAACTATTACTTGTATTTACCCCTCTTCTCTTTTTTTTTTTTTTTGTATTGTAAGGTTAATCGAATCGATATGTAAACATTTAGTTATGGTATTTGATGAAGTGTAAAAAGAAAAATGAATGTCATGCTAATTCAAATTTGTTGAATATTAATAAAAATTCAAACATTTAATGACGAAGATCAATTTCATGATAGAAATTTTATTTCGAAATATTTTTTTTTTGTTTTTATATTTAGAAAATAAATATAGTAATACAATTCGATTGAGATGCTTCACAATATTATCAAGCTTATTCAAATGAACAAGTTTCAGTTATTTGTTGTCAGTTTTATTTATATAATGCATAGAAATGTTTTTTAATTTTTTGCTTTGCTATAATTTCTGAATAAATAAATTTGATTAAAAGAACAAATAAATTAGTTAAAATTTGTCTTTTTTTGAATAGTTTTCAGTATTTTTCTGTAAAAGTGAGATTTATCTATGAGTTTATACATAAGAAAAAACTGTGTTTAGTGCAATAAATCGATATCATGTCGTCTACTTTTGTAAAACACCATCAATTAATTATTGTTAATTCATTTTTCAGTCGAATTCAATAAAGTATGATCATAGTTTTTATATTTGATTGATGTAGTACTTTTTTTGACGTACTAGAAGTGACTATTATTTCCAATTGATTAACTTACTAAAAATACTTCTTTTTCTCTGTATTGAGTGTATTCATTTGATTACTAATACCTAGTTGTAACCAAGTCAAGAATATATATAAATAGTTTATCATCAATTATTACATGTTATAATAAAATGTAAAAGATCGTCAAATCATTGATAATTTTTTCTTATAATGATCAGAAAAAGTTTTCGTAATCTTTATAGAGCTTGATAAAAGTTGTTTTTATGTGCTATACAAAATTAATTATAAATATTAATAGACACTATGATACAATACAAAGAATTAAAGTACTGATAAGTATACTAATACATCATGAATGATGAAACTAATACTGTTTATCAAATATTTGTAAAGAATTTTGTATCATCAATAGTAATTCATCATCAAGCAAATAATTCGATTATTCAATACTCATTTATCTTTTTAATGATCTTCTTTTTCATTTAGTTTTATTCTTCAAAACATGATCAAATGTATAATTATGTACATTGTAACATTGTTTTTGTATTTTCTTAAACAATGAATAATAGTATAATTAGTCTTTTTGAAATTTTAAAACACACAGATTAATAATAGATTTTCAAAATGATAAAAGCTTACTTTAAAATTGTCTGTCTGTTTATTTTGATAATTGATTTAGCAAATAATATCTATAGAGAAATTACAGATATGTGAGACAAACTTTTAGTTCCGATTTTGATCCCGATTACGAGAACCAGAACCGACCACGGAAACGAAAAGTTGTCAAGACCGAAACTAAATATTATAGTTTAATAATCTATGATTTTAAGCAAATTATCTTATAAATCAGAACATAATTCAAGAAAAATGACACAAAAAAATTCTAATCATCGACTAAATAAATCAAAAAATAAGTATTGAAGTTTTTTTCGATGTAATACGAATCAAGTCCGAAATAATTTTCTCCAGACTGGGACTGCAACTTAGAACACTAATTTTCCGGGATGAAGGTCAGATTGAATTCATCTGAACCGAGATAAAAAGACATCGGTCGTGCACAACCAACTCTACCCGAGATACAACATTCAATTGTATACACGCTTTAACGAGTGATATTAAAACATATCGTTATCATATGGTTTTTTTTATTTGTAATGAATCAAATTTATTGAAACAGTTAGCATTTCTTGTATTACTTCCATCTTTGATTCATCTTATGTGTTTTTAAATTCAAATACAAGAAGACAGATTCATGTACAGAAAAAAGAAAAGCACAATGTATTCCATGAATTGGAAAATATTCTGAACTTTATCAAGAAAGAAAATCATCTATGAAAGAGAATGAGTTGATCTTCTACGACATTATTTATCAAACATATCATCCTTATCCTATTCATTTTCTTGAGAAGATGAAGTCATACTCAACTATTGAACTAAGTCAATATATTATAAAGAGTTTGAAAACACAAATTGTTATTCTTAAAGCAACATCATCAACATAAGATAAAGAATTTTTGTATGTTTCAATAGATCTATTTATTTTAAAACTACACTTAAAATACGAACGTTACAATGGCTTTTCGATCTTTTTTTCATATACATGTATGTATAGGTTTATATACAGAAACTTGATTTTAATCAATAGATTCTGATGGCATAGATCGAATACGACGAGAACGAGGTTGTTGTACAGTTCTCGTTGAATTCGATACAATTTGATGTAATGGTTGTTCATATTTAGCACGTAAACGACGTTCAAAACGAAGAAAACTTCGACGTTGATGTTGTATTTGTCGTTTTAATTGTTGAAAATTTAATCGTTTTCGTCTTTTTATAGATAAGGGTTGTCGGCGTCGTTGTCGATGACGATATTTTTCTTTAAGTAAACGTGCTTCAATTTGTACTTGAATATTTTCGTCAATTAATTTACGTGCTTCACGTTCAAGACGTTCACTTTCTTCTTGTAAATGGGCAGTTGTTGTAAGTAATTCATTTAATTCATTTTCTTCAAAAAACATTAAGCAAAAATTTTCAACAAAATATTTTTATTTTCTATACATACGAAGTTGTTCAATTAATTGATTGTATTGATCAGTGGCTGTATTATCAACTTGACTTTGATCGATCTAATGTTCATGTATAAAGTTTCATATTTTTTATTATTCTTTTAGCTTACTTTTCGTTCTCGACACATTTTAAATTATCTTCGGCCGTATATCTAAATAAACAGTTCGTTTTTTTTTATCAAAATATTCAATATCAATAGCCATCAGCCCCCCTTTTCCACTTTATTGCTATCATCATTATCATTTGCCTAGTATCGACTTGTCGAATACAACACATAGAATAAAGAAGACACAAATAACAACAAGAAAAGAAAACCACCAGTGAGAAACATGCAAAAAATAATAAATCTGGCAAATATAAACGACTGTTTTGGTCTTAATTAAAGAAGAAATATATAGAAGACAAAAAAAAAATGAAAAGCACTGCGCGAATGGATATGCAATAGAAAGCGAATAACGACAATAAAAAGAAAAAAAAAGAAGAAGAAAAAGAAGACTTAGTTTCTAATAATTAGTTGATTGTATTTGAAAGTGAAGAGAAATCTGGCATTGGAAATTTTCTTGTTCTTTTTTTTTTTTGTTACATAAATTTATTGTCGATTATTATAAGAAAGAAAACAACGAGTATGTAATAATCGCAGTGCTTGAAGACGATTTTGCCATGGTGATATAACAAAAGGAATAGGTGATGATGAACGTTGACGAGCTTCAAGTTCACCTTGTTGACATAAACATAATGCTAATGTACGAACATATGATGCAACATATTCATCTGATAGTAAATAATCAATATTATTTAATAATATTGTGTTCATTGTTGAAGAATTTTCTATTTTAATAAAAACAAGAATAAATGCTTTATTATCCAATTTAAGTATCAGTCAAAAGACAAGTTTCTAGTGTTTTTGTTTTAAGGTTTTACAAGACTATGCTTTACAGTGACTAGCTAAATTATTCAACAAGGCTCAAGTTTCAGTTTTTTTCATTCCATAAGTGCTACAAAAAGTTCTGATGCATAAACATAATTCTCTTTCAAATGAGGCATTTTCAAGTTCTCTACGATGCTTTTTAGCTGATATACAGTAATCTATGTAAACATCGAAAGTTTTCTATAGGAAATATTTTTAAAAAATGGTAAATCTAGAATGTTCCTTAGAAATGATTCTTAGTCTGGTATGATTCTCCGAAAAAATGTCCATCATTATTAAATTATGTTTTTAGTAAAATATGAACAACGTTGGATGATAATGCTAATCATGTAATTTAATTTATTATAACGAATTAAATTCTATTATATTTTCCATTCGCAACAAAAGTTCACATAATAAATCTTGCGCCGTAATTAGATGTGAGTGCCGATCTTGATATTCTATTTTCTTACACTCACAGTCAATGCTACTTAAAAATAATTTGTTTTGATTATTTATAAAATACGACCTAGACATAACTAAGTGTAGTTTAATCATTTTTTCTTTTCATTCTTATTTGATTCATTTCACGTAGAAACACTTCGTTTATATAAACAACTCAAATATCTGCTGAAGTATGTTTGAATTACCGAGTTATCGATGTTCCAGTAATATTATATTAAAAAAAAAACAGCAATTTAGAATAACGAATATTTTTACACGAAGGATGATTTCTCAAGAACACTTTTTCAAGGACGAAATATCTCCGGCATTATGTAAACGATGTTTTAGCATGCATTAGCTACCATAATATTGCTCTACTTCAGCTAAAAAAACACCATAGACAAATCAGAGACGTCTCATTTTTGTAGAGAGCTGTTTTTATGTAGTCTTAACAAAATTACATTTATGCATTCTAGATGCTGAAAAACCAGAATCTCAGTTTTCTGAAGAACTTATCTTTGAGAAAGACATATCCTTTCAATACTAATCTTATTTATACTGTCTGACTTGATGTTGAAGAGATGCAAAAATTCATCATTATCATTGGCTATTAACTATTTAGAAGCATGTGAATAGGTTTGTATTCGATAGACTTGCATTTAACTGAAATTAATAATCCTTAAATGGTCTGTTCAACAATGAAGACTCTTAGAGATCCAGAAAGTTGTGCAAGAGTTAAAAAAACACATATTTTATACTCTAATAAACATTCAAGTAGCTACGAAATTGAAATAAAGATATTTCATGGTAAGTTTAATTGAAATACTGTCAGTTGAACAGTTTCGAATGCTAGGTATTGAAACTAATTAAGACTTCTCTAACAAACAAAAAGACTATAACGTACGTGCTGTGCTCGTTTGAGCTCGTCGTTTAATTCGAACACGAGTATAATTTGAATTTATTTGTGGACAAACTTCAATAGCATATTGACATACTCCACTCTAAAATTGATTTGAATAAAAAAGAATTTTTCTTTTCAATAAAAACTTTAATTTTTACTTTTAATGTTTTCATTTCAAAGGCATAATCGCTTTCATTATAAACAATAATAACATAATCGTTTCCAATTAATTTTTTTTTAAATTCATGATCCAATCGTGTATTTGGCATCATTGTTGATGTATGAAATAAGACTAAATATAAAAATTGAAATAAAATTTTTTTTCTTTTTGAATTTATTTACCTTGATAAATTGAATTTTGCCAGACATAAGCATATTGACCACAATTATCTGAATTATTAGCATCTAATAATGGACAATAAAAGTTTTCTTGTTGTAAATCTTGTATTGATTTTAATTTAGCTATTGATAACATAAATTGTTTATATCGTTTTGATGTTTGAATATTTGATAAAATATTTATTTCAGTTATTTCCTAAGAAATTTCATGTTTCTTTTTTTTTAATATTTAAATAAAAATAAATATTAAATTTTACCTGTCCAGAATTAATATAAACAACACCAATCTTTGCTACACGTACTGGTTCTACATTATCTATTGATTCTACTGATTTACGAGCTTCCTAAATTAAATTAGAAATAAATATAAAGAAAAAGAAAGATTTTCAATTATTCATACGGATGGTACACGAAGAACTCTTTGAGGAAAATAATGTTCATTATGACGATTTAGCATATTCTCTTCATCTTTTCGACTAAATAATAATAATAATAAAAAGTTTTTAACGAAAAATATTTAAAATGAAAATCTACTTCTTACTCAATATTAATAATCATTGATTGAAATTCATCGTTTAATGCAGTTTCATTGATTGAATAATTATTCTGTTCTTGTTGCCAATAATTAGGAAAGGTTTTAATTAATTTTAATTTATCAGCAGCTGTATCATTTAATTTAACCGCTAGAAATATAACAATTTTTCTATAGATACTGAGTTGAGAACTTCTTCAATTTTCAAATAGATTTTCAATTGAGTCTGTGTTCATTTAATGAGTACTAGTGAGTAATAGAAAAGTCCAGGAATAGTTTTCTTTTCTAACCTTATGTTCTTGAGATATAGAATTTTTACTGAGTTTTTTCAATAAATAGCTGTGATTTCCTTCAGGTCATGTAAGAGCTTCGATTTCAAATTTTGCATGAACAAAGTTTTTAATTGTAATTTTTCTAGTATAACCTATTGTGAGAAAGTCAATATTCGAAATTCTCTCATGTGCAAAAGGCAAATTTTGTTCATATATATTTACATCTCCAGAAAGGAAATAATAGAAAAGATGCAATTTTTGCAATGAACTAACTGCATCGAGAACTTTGTTCATGCAAAAGTTGAAGTCGAAACTCTTACATGACCTGGGCCAGAGTGCAACTGTTTGTTGAAAAGGTCAGTAAAACGTCGATATTTGAAGAACTAATGATCAAAAAATAAAAACCATTCTAGACATTTCTATTACCTACTAATATCCATCAAAATAAATATTGTGTCGATCGAAAAGTGATTTGACATCTGAAGAGTTTTCTTCGTAAGTTTACAATGAAAGATTTTATAATGAAAATTAAGAATATTGGATAGAGCTCGATAAATTACATAAGAAAAAAAATAATATCGTACATATTCAAAAATAATTTTACGAAAAAGTCTAAGATACTTTGATTGTTAAATATCAGAGTAATAGAAAAAGAATTTTGACTGTTGTGTGATGTTGTTTATTTTTATACAATCTACTAAACTCTATGCAATTATGACAAAAAAAGAAAAATGAATATTGCTGAAATTTTGATATGGCATACAGAGTAAATATGTTGAGACTTGAATGTTTCTGTTTGTGCATGCTATGAACAGCTCCTATTTTAACTTAGCTCAATAGTGAGAGAATTCATTTAACCAGAATATGATTAATTTCGTTAACATACAGTATACAATGTTACATTGTTAGAATAATAAGATTTTCATCGTCAAATAAATAAGAATTGATAGAATTCGATTTATATTTTATTAACCAAAAAGTCATCTAGATTTGTTTTCGAAAAAAAAATGAAAAGAAACTAACTGTTTATTCTAAATTATCATCAAATTCTAATAGTCAAATCCTAAACCTAAAATAAATACCAAAGAATTTTGACTATGTTACTATTATAAAAAAATTGAAATAAATGATCTGCACAGGTACACGTCTCCGTACTTGTTTTGAACTGTTTCATTTTTACTATACTTTAGTATAATTGAAAAATCAGAAAAAAAACAATATCATCTTTGATTAGATATGAATGCCTTTGTCTAATTTAAAAGTTAATATAACTTAGATAATATAAGTATTACAGATGGTTTCAGTTCGCACGCTTTTTTCGAACCGATCCCATTCCTAGTGGGTACGAATCAAAAAAAGTCTCTTTTATTCTATAATAAACAAAATTTATTACCTTCAAACCAATGAAGTTGTTCATTTTTAGTATGAATAATACCTGGTGATGCTGACAAATTAATAGCTAAAAATGTTTTTGTACTTGTAAATGAACGAACTGTAACAGCAATCCATAAATTTCTCTCATTAAACAATGATCGATTTGTATCTAATTCTATATCATAGGAGGAAAAAAAAATATACATCTACATATAAATTTATTTAAATGAAAAGCAAACCTAATGGTCGAATATGAAGATCATCTTGACATGACGTTAAAATTTGTAAATTTCTATTTTTTCGAACATTTTGTTTATTTCCATCTGTATATCGTCGATAACGATTTTTCATTGTATCA